AGCAATACCTAAACCACAGCATCATTGCCATTCATCAGTGACGTCACATACCAACGCCACCACTCAGGCCTCTCCAGCTCATCAGTAGCGGCAACGGCGGTATCAATTATCCTCTTCAGTGACGTCACACACCAACGCCACCACCCAGGCCTCTCCAGCGTATCGGTAGCGGCAATCGGTGGCGTCAATACTCACCTTTCACACCGTGAAACTCTTCACGGCATCATCATCTTTTATCAGCGTATCTTCCACTACCACTACGAGTCCTAACCACAAGTAGGAGAATCACGCGCCACACTCAAGAATACACTTATAAGATTATCATCACTCATATTACCTGAAGAAAGTCTCACCTATTCATTGTATCATACTTTCAATCTCATATCAATGGACCACTGATTCTTTATTATATTATTATTTTCAATAAAGGGAAAACCAATTCATACAAGGGCAGTATTTAATTATTGCATTGTCCATTCCACTTGCCAGCAAGCCTCCCATACACCATCATAAGGGAAGCTGTTAGTGTGATTCGAGACATATATTTACACACCCATTCTATACAAAATCTTCAATTTTCTATTGTTTAAAAGAAATACTATACTATAAAGATATAAGAGCTCAAGAACTCCAAAACTCTTGTAATATCATTGCTTTTAAATTTAATTTTAAATGAATTTCAAAAATACCTACCCTAATGTTTAATGATATTTATATTAATTGCGATAAAAACTCACGATTGTTTATTTAAATAATTTTATTGTGTTTGTATTAACTGAATGTGTTTTCATTTTATTATAGTTTTTTATAAATAATAATTTTTTTGTCTAATTTTTTTCCTAATATGGAAATTTAACGTAATTATTGACTTTTATTTAATTATTTAATTGACTCAACTCAGCGTTCGCCTTTTAGGGAGAAGAACTTCTAGAATTTTTATAACTATGTGTGATGGGTATAATATATAATACTTAAATTCTATATCAAAAAGGAATATGTATATAATATGTATATACTAACAGTAAAAACTTCTACATTACCTTTTTACGTTCAATCTAACTGTTTATTACGTTTTTTGCTTTATTATAGTCAGGTGAATTGTATATATCATATCTTATTTATTCTATATAAATTAGAATTTATTTATAGTAAATTAGTATTTATATTGAATTTTTTTTATTATGATGTATAATTAATGTAATAGTATTTTATAATATTTTTGATAATGATCTATTGTATTATAATGATTATATGGTGTTTTTATTAAAAAAATTATAAACTATTCTCTTACAGATGCTTTGCAATAAAAAAGATACAAAAGCAATGGAAGGAGTGGTATTCTTATAGATGTTACGTCGTGGCAAATTTAATGTGTGTAAAACATGATTAGTTTAATTGGTAACAAACTATTACATAATGCACGCTATTAAAAGAATGTATATAAGTATATGTATTCTAAAAACGGTTGTTTTATTGTATGCTATTTTTGTTTACAAAAGTGTATTGTTTAGCTGATTATATTATAGTTCAACACAATGATGACGTTTGTTAATTTTTAAATAAAATTAAACTATCATTTTCACTTATTTTAAAAAACAAAGTAATTGCTTGAGTGTAGTTTATATTCTTATAACTACAGGTATTTATATTGTTATCAATTAGTGAAAAAGGATGCTTGTTAATATATATTAGTTATATATAATTAGCCAATATTAAACCTATTAAAAAACTATTTATCAAAGTTACTCGGCATGGATAGTCATCATTTTGCACATTGACACGTACTTTTGAATTATATTTATTTGACTTTAGGTTTGGTTTGACGGATTAATGACAATTTCATCTGCTAATCGTTTTGTCAATTTTCAAACGTTTAACTGTCAGAAAGTTATAATTGACAGTATGTACTTTGATTTAATTTTTATTTATCTAGTTCAGTCAAAATCTTATACATTTTTATTTTATGCAATTAATTTATTGATATAAGAGATCACTTAAAGAAGTCATAATGTAATAACATTTAATATTAAATGAGGGTACTAGTATATGACTCATTAAACGTGTTTCAAATATTTTCAAATTAGATTACACTAAATTATTCTGAATGAAACATATATGTTAGTGGTATGCATACAGTATACTAATATGCTTTCATTATAGTTATTTATATTATAGTTATTAATTATAGTATAATTAGTAAACCATAAAATTTAAGCTTTATCTTGAAATTCAATAAATAATATTGTATGATCTAATATAAAATTTCCTGACTTATAAAAAACAAATCACTTATAAAAGTCAATAGATTTTTTACTTTGTATATTGACTCTTTTTGTTTTACAAAATATTTATAAATTGAAACTATAATTAATATAAACCCTCATTGCAAATTTTTCTGGCACTAATCTTAATATTTGCAATAATTATATACATATAAATAAACGAAACATCATACATAACGCTATTTTTTTAAGCGATACAATAAATATTTTATTATTTTTGGAATGCATTTAATCTAGCATATGAAACTCGTAGTTACTCGATTTAAAGACATGTATATTGTATTTAGATCATTCGCTTATTTTGGTCAAATAAAAGGTTAGTAAGGTTAAACAATTTTCTCTATATTTGATAAAAAAATTTTCACATTTAATAAAAAATAAATAACACATTATATTTAACTTCTCGGTAAATAAGTACTTTTTCAATATTGGAAAACATTTGTAATAAACAGTATCATGAAAGTTGGCATTTATGCATGTTAATGAATAGATGAAATTAAAAAGAGGTAATTAGGAATATTATTGTAAGTAAATAATATTATTTTGTACATTGTCCTTGTTTAAATCTATTAAACATATTTCATGGTGTATTTATTTAATAATACACTGTATTGACATATTTTATCTATTTCAAAGAATCCAAATGCACCAAATAGAATACTTAAACTTTGACACAAATTAGCTCTTTTACAGAGACTTATTTTTAAAGAAAATAAATAATTTGAAAGTTAATAAAGTTAAATACTTATTCTATTATCAATTTTTTTTAAAATTTGCTGTTGACTACAAAATATAAATTGTTTTAAATTGAAAACAGTTAATAAATAAACATATTATATTGCTAATAGTTAGATAACTTGCCAATTACTTATTTCTTTTAAGTATATACAATATTGATTTATTTTAGTTAACTATTAAAAAAATTAATTAAATATGGTATAAAAACATGATTTGTAAATGACTCTTAAAAAATTTTCATGAAATACTAATATGAAAATTTGATTTACCTATAAATGTAAACCATAGTTATTATATAAGTTCGCGATTAATGTATTAATTGCTTTATTGTTAAAATGATATTACTTGTTATAGTAATCATTACGAAACAAAATAGATTATATCTCCAATATATTATTATTAGAATCTGTACCATTTGATCAGGTTTTTTAATCTCTATAACAATATATATGTGTGTGCGTACATCCGTGTACCTGATATTTATGTGTGTATGTGTGTGTTAAACATTTAAATTAATATCAGTTTTCAATAAATTTTTAAGTGTTTCTGATAATGTTGGTATGAAAATATTTACTTCCAATTAAAATGAGATAAACATTCAATCACTCAAATAAAATTATTTTATTAAAACCACAGCCTATGCTTTTCATAAATAAGAAAATATGCTATCTATTTACATTGCATTATTGAGTTCTATCTTGATAAAAATTGTAATGTTACTTTATACTGTCTGATGTAAACCTGCATACTTGAAGTACGGCTATAAAACGTGAATACCAAAAATAACAAGAGTATTATTATACTTATCTTGAGATACAATATTATAATACTATTATAAAATATTCATGTATCATATAGTATCCATCCATGATCCATGTATAGTAAAAGTAATTAATATATATTAAATAATTTAATATGCATGGAGATGTTAGTGTCCATAGCTGAGATAAACATCGTTACTATCATGTATCTAGCTAATAAGAATCGTTAAAAAATTTATAATTCAATTAAGATATTAAATTAATATGTTTAATGGGTTAGAAATTATAAACAAATTAATCCGGAAAAATTAATTTCAATTCAGCGAAATAGATTTTTGTTGTAATAATCTTGATAAAATATTTACTCATAAAATATAAAAATACTTTTTTGGAAAATAATTTGGTTAAGTTGATAGTTCGATAAAAAGTGTTTTGAAATTTGTTTTATTATATATATTTTTTTTTTTATGTTTTATTGATGTCAATTAAAAATGGTTTCTTTTCCGGCAGATTTTATTATTTTATACAAATATATATATATGATAATGTCATATAATTTTTATATTTTGTAAACACTAGATATTTTATCTCTCTTTGTATAAATAAATTTTATTAATAATATTACTAACTCATAGTAATTTTTATGATTAGTGTGATTTTTATAGGAAAATATTTAATATACTTGAACTTAAAAGAAATTAGCTTTTGTTTTTAATTTTAATAATAGAATTTTATTTACACTAATTTTTAATTCCAATTTTATTATTTTTGATATTTTACATAATTATGATGTTATATAAAATATTTGCATTTTTAATGATACATAAATGTTCACGATTCAATAGTCAAAAAGAGATAATCATATTAATACTTAAAAAATCGAAATGGGTTTCAGTAAATTAAGTTTCACTTGAAGCTATTTAAATTATAAATATATTTAATAAAAAATATATTTTATAAGATATTTACGTTTGCAATATGTATTTTTTATTAATCCTTGTGAGATTAAATTTTATAAATAAATAGGCGTTTAATGGATTAGATATAAAAATATTGGTATTTTTATTTTTGTGTAATTTAAAACTGTTGGCTGAAATGAATAACGTTCTCTTCGCATTAATATTTTGTAATTCATATAATAGAACTTATAAATATTTACTTGATTGATATGATGTTTGTTTTAATGATATAATTGATTAAAAATATTCTTTATCAAATGTTAAATAAGATTTATAATTATAATAAATTGAAATCTTATAGCAATTCAAACAAAAAAAGTAACCTGTACTAAAATTGAGATTTCGTCCATTAACCTACTACCAGATATCTTAATTTATATGCTTTTCAGCATCAAGTATATAGTTGACACATATAAGTGTTATATTAAATAATAGATATAATTATTAATTATCATGACATCTCACGTTATGTGTTTAACTTCTTCAGGTGGTATTCCATTATTTGTTAGAAAAAAAGGAGATGGAGATTTGGTAATTAAATTGTTTGAACAAAATATCGTATTTTAATTATTATTTCTTAATGATCATATACATGTTATACATGTCATAGATGACTTTTTCAAAAATAGCATCTTTAAATGGAATACATATGTTTTTGAAAACTCACAACATTGAGTTATTAAATAGTGATATGGCAGACACTTCAATTGTATGGAAAGAATTCAAAGGATGTATTACTTTAATAGCCATTGCAAGTGGTACGACTAAACGAGTAATGCTTAAATTTTTAGATTCTGTTTTTAATGCTATGATTTTAGTTGTCAGCCTTAAAGATATCGAACAACCTAGAAGTGTAGAAAAATTAAAAAGAGATTTGCGTCCTTGTTACTCTATCATTGACAAACTTTTAGAATATTTAGATATTGGTGATATAAGTGGAACAAAAACAAATTTTTTTGATTTGACAGATTCTATTATATGCTCTGAGAATCATCTACTACAAGTTAGTAGATAAAATTCAATAATGATGTACAATTTTTTTATTTCAAATTTATAGAGATAAAAAATACTATATAAATTAATCTATTAGTTATAATAAAACAATACATATAATAAATATTTCAATATTTTTTTCTATAACAAATTCTGATTAATATAATATTAATAAATACATTTCAAATTTTCATAACAATATAATCTATAATAAAATTTTTTAAATACATGCATACAGTTATACTTAAAAGATTTGATAATAGATTTATCAATTTAAATATAGCTTGCATATAAATGTGGTTTCTTTAATACAAATCTTTAAAATTTTAATATATTAAAATATAATGAACAAAATAATTTGAATAAAAAATAATATATATCTATAATTATAGATTTGTCTTGATACTTTTATGGAATACTTGGATTCATTGTATGGTTGTATATTGATTCATAATTGTTTAGCAGTTGCTACAGAAAGTTGGTGGTCACTTAACCCAAAAGAAAGAAAGTTAATTATTTTAGCAATTACAACAAACAATAATTGCGGTACAAATGATTTACCAATCTTTTTACCATACAAAAGTCCTAATGTCAGTATTATTAATTAAATTACTCAAATTTGTAAATTCAATATTAGTAAATTTTTATCTTTTATAGTTAGCTTATCGATTAGTCAATGTAACTTTAGTCGATAACATTCAAGTTTTAGCTTTATGTGGACCTAATCCAGATGTAAAAGAAATTGAAAGGTTAGCCTTCCAATGTTGGAGAAATAATATAGAGATATTACGTACATCAGTCCAGTGTTATCCACGAAATTTTCCATACTCAATATCATTGGATTCCAGGATTTTAGGGTAAGAAAAGAAAAAAACAATGTATTACTTTATTAATATAATTATTATAATAAGAATTATATAATATTTGACGCAAATGCACATTTTTTTACTTTTTTAGATTTTTACTTGTCAACTATAAAATAAAAAAATTTGTTATGAGTAGAAATGTTCAACATTTAAAAAACCAAATTTCAAGAACTTATCAACTAGATACTATAAAAACTTTTTATCACTATGCAGTAGAAACATTATTTTATACTATAGATTCCTATACAAAAAATTTGGAGAGAAACGAAGAAAAAACTACTGATCAGTTTAAAAGTGCTAAAGAAACATACTGGAGTTTCGAATATCATAAATGCCATGCATTAAAAGAATTAGATCATATTATATGTGTTTTATATACATCAATTGTACCTACACATACTATGAGATTAATAACTCATAAAACCTTAAAAATTATTTTAACAGAAAAACAAATTTGTTGGTAACATTATAAAAATAAATAAATGTGTTTATATGGTATAAAAAATTAATTGTTTATTAGATTCTTTTTCTTCCAAATGATTTTTTTTTTAAATATCAAATTTTGTATATAATAGAAACAATCAGTTCTTTGAAATTGTGTAATTAGTTTTTAATTATTCTATATTAGTTTGATATTTTAATAAATAAAACTTTTCACAATATTAATTAAAATACTGTAAGTATTTGCGGTTGATTATTATAAAAAATAATATAAAATACATAGCAAATGTTCACAAAACTATTTTGTTGTAATGCTATAATCTATGTAAAGTCTTTATATATGGTTGTAGAATTCTTCATTAAAGATGAACATAATGCCATTTATCGACTGAAATTATCCAAATAATTTATTAATTTGAAAATAAAAAAAATAAATATGTCAACAAACAATTCATGTAAAATATAATAATACAAGTAGTTATTTTTTATAATTTATTTAACAAATTTTTACTTGCAAAAAAATTTTTATTAACTGTAATAAAAATATTTGAATTTTAAAATACAAAACAAATTTATATAAAAATTGCAATATTATTCATGACTTACCAATAGAATCAATAGGTAATGCTTCTTGCAGTTCTGAAGCCTTTTCTACAACTTCTTTAGCAGCATTTATTGTGATTTGAAATGGGCTATCTATGACAGTTACATTTGTACTGAAAAAAAATGCAATTACTATTATTCTAAAATGAATAAAAATAGAAGTAAAAAATAAAAAACAAATTTATTACAAGAAATAGCTAAATAAAAGAAAGATAGCATATTAATATTTACAATTAATATAAAATAAAATATGCAATTTAGAAATTAAATAAGTATAAAAAAGTATAATTTAAAATATGGAAAATTTTTTTTATAAATTTTATTAGAATTTATTGTTTTAGAAAAAAATATTAACTTTCATCATTTAAAATAGATTTAATTTAAAAACATTAAAATGTTTTAGTTTAATTATATTTAATGCTTTTTCTATAATGTTGTTATAATTAATAAAACATTTTATTATATATACACTAACCATGAAATATTTCCAGCACTTGTTTCTTTCTTAATGAGATTCTGCCAATGTTTGTGAACTTCTTCAATAACGTGTAAAGCAAAATCTCTTGGTTTTGCTTCACCATTAAAAGCAAATTGATTTTCTGGTTTACCATCAGGGATTTTGTATATCTTGAACCATTCAACTGTAGCTTTTAGTAAGCCTGGATAGTGTTTGTCTATGTCAGTAACATCTAAGTACATAAATAATTTTGTGTTAAACTTAGAGATAAGTTAGAAACATAGTTATTAACGAAAGAATTAAATAAGTATATAAATTAATAACCTTAATATTAGGTAATGTATAGAATAGCATTAATCATTACTTTCAGTTATTAAAAATTTAAGAAACTTACCATTAATCTGATTAGCTAGTGGATCATTTACATCAATAACAATTATTTTCCAATCAGTTTCACCTAATACAAATAAGTTCGTAAATTATGATAAATAAAACTTTTTACATAATGGCTTCTTAAATACCTTCATCAATTAGTGCTACAGCACCTAAAACCTTCACTTTTAATACATCTCCCCTTTTCGCTACCTAAAGTAAATTTCTTTATATAAATTTAATTTTTAATTTAAAACTGATTAATTTTACAATAAAATGTTTTCAATTATTTTAATAAACAATTGCAAGTAATTAATTTACCCTATAACCAATTTCCAAAACATCAATAGGATCATTATCACCTTTGAAACCAGTAGCTTCATCTAAAACATCAGGATTTTCCCATGTCTATAAAAAGATATTAAAAAGTAATAAATAATAAATTTTCTTAAATAAATTAATTTATAATACCTGTGGTAATGCTCCATAATTCCAAATATAACCATGATGTGGAAAACAGTTAGCAACATATCGAAGATTACCTTTTTTTATATCTTGTTTTATAGGATTTAATGGTTCTATTAAATTAATTTCCATTTTAGCATTTGTCCATCTAGGTACTTCAACAATCATGTGAAATATCTTATTAGATTCATCCGCAAATAATGAAATATCATGCATTGGTGATATTGGATTTTTCTCATTTTCTAAAAATAAATATAAAAAATTAAATAATTTATGAATCATCGAATTTATAATATTTTAAGAATAATAAAGTAAATATGGAAAAAAAGACTGCAATAATAATAGTCTTTGTAAAACGACTAGTATAAGTTCTTAAATAAATTAACATTTGAAAGATAATACTTTGATTTTTTCTCTTAATTGAAGCTTAACAGAATTAAATAATAATTAAAAGTTTCTTGAACATGTTAAAAAAAATGTAGCGAAAGAAATACACGATAACGACAAACTAAAGAAAATTAAAGGTTATATGATTTATTGATATTCAATAATAAATACTCACGAAAAAATAGCTTATAATCAGGGGAATTGGGTGTACCACGTTCAATAGTTGTAAAACTTGTCAGCATTTTATTAGTAGACATATATGCGTTTATATGTTGTTCTCGAAAGAATTGCCGTTTTCTCAAAACCTTAAGGGGTAACGCGATTTTATTTAAACTACGATAAATTAGCACGTGCAACGTCGCTATAAACATGATGTTCATCACAGTAGTATCATACGAAATAGATATATTTTTCGTAAACAGGCGACATCTAGCGGTAACTGATTTTAATTAGGCTTTAATCGTGTAGACACCATCGAACCTTAGCTCGAACTGAATTAAATGCAAATTGTCTTATGAGCTTCTTTACTCATTCGCACAAATAATTAATTATGATATAACGTAGCTTTCAAATATTATTCAGGTTATCAAAATTTGTACTCCATTTTAGTATAATTAACTATATTTAAAATATTTAGAATTCTTGTATTATGAAAAATAATGGTTAATTATTTAAATAAAAACTAGCTAATTCATCTACTACAATCTATTAATCGTTGATTAAAATATCATTGTTCATTATTTTATGAAAACTAGATATTTAAAGTAAATGCATTCTTATATTTTATATAATTATAGTACTATAATAAGTGTAGTAGTATTTTTATAATGTTTAAATAAAAATAACATATACTAGAATGTTAATAGTTGTGATAAAAATTCACGATAAAATATATTTCAAAATTTATAATATGATGGTAATATCGCATTACAATTCAGAAAGGTATATATATTTTTCAGTATTAAATAATACATATTAATTTAGTCTTTTAACATTAAAAAGTGCAGAAATTTAAATAAATTAACTAATTTAATACAAAATTAATATTATAAAATTTAGCTAAACAGTACATTTATTTAATTAATGGAAAACTTTATTAATCCAATATAAATATGTTATATAATATACCACAACCTCCTCTTTTACAAAGTATGTTAAAGAATAAGTTAAAAAATTTCTATTACTCTTTTAGTACATTTGTTTCATTTTATTGCACTAAATTAAAAAATACAGTTGATTAAACAAAAACAAACTACACATTAAAACAAGTCAGTAAAGTTTTCTGTATCTACAGTCATTGATTATATCCTTTACTGTCGATAATGCATAATAAATAACAGATAAATTAATTCATACATTATCTTACAAAAACAACTTGCATCTTACTATATTTAGCTTTATCAATTCTATTGTACATAAAATTGTGCAATTAATACTATTCTTCAATTAAATATGAAATATTTATATTTTTATACAATTTTAATATTTTGAGAAAATAAATCAATTAAAACCAACCATATTTAAAACTAGTTATTAATAATAATTTAACTACATTCATATGATCAATTATGATTTTTAAATGAAAGAATTAATTATTTAATTTCTAATACCGGATTTATAAAATATTTTATATTTTTATATCGATTAATTTTGAATCGTTTTAATGATAAATAAAATTTATTAAATATATTACTTTTAAAAGAAATAGTAATAATTTTATTTAATACCTTATTTGATATGTAGGATAAATAAAATATTAAACATATGTTAATGAATAAATTAAATTACTCTTCTTTTATTTTAATAAAAGTAAAACTTAACTTATTCTGTTTTCTAATATATTAAAAATATTGATATTGGAATTCCTCGAATTCAATTTTAAATTTAAAACAAAGATTTACAAAAATTAAATAAAAATAATTTTACTGAATAACAAAACAAATATTACTATAAGCAGTTAAGTAAAATATACTAAAATCAATTTTTTATTAAATTATTGTATATTATTTTAATTTTTTTAATAAAATAAATTAAATTTTATTAAATTAAAATAATAAAAAAACTAAAATATAAAATAAATTTTATAAAAATATATTTATATTAACAAAGTAAAAGTATAATTTTTATCATTATATATTATAATTAGTTTTTAATTAATTGAATTAATCAATTAATTAATTTATTAAATATTTTATAGACGTTATAAAAATTAATAATTTTGTTTTATTCAAATATATTCATGACTTTTACAAGTTTTCAAATATTAAAACATTATCAAAATTTGTTAGAAATTCAATTAAAAAGTTTTTAAGTAATAAAAAATTATTATATGTACAATATGAATAACAAGTGTAGAGCATAATAATAATATAAATGCTAGTATAAAAATAATAAAATAAAAATAAATAAGTACAAACACTAATAATAGTGAAAAATAATGTTTTTATATTTAATGATTTAAATAATCTTGATATTTTATAAAAATAAATGATTATAAAACTAATTATTCCTATCTTTTAAAATAGTAAACAATGAATAATTTCAAAGTAAACAAAAAAAATCGTTTTTATATTATAAATATGTACATACAATATGTACATAATGAAAATTATAAAAAAATAATATATAAACAGTAAATATTTCTGATAAAAATTGATTGTAGTACCATTTATAAATATTGTTGAAATTTTAATTCAGTAATCACAATGGGTAATTAATGAGAAATTATATATATACATATAATATAACAAGATAAACTATAACAAGACAAATAGTAATAATAAAGAAATATTTATTTTATATTTCAAAATGGAAAAAATATACGTACTTCGATGTGTACTCATTTTCGATTTTTCTATACAGATTTTTGAAACTGCGTGACTATTAATTAATTTTTCTTGCAAACAAAATAATTCTGGAAATAAATACTTAAATGTTCTTGATATAATCCCATAGCCAGTTACTAGAAGATGTGTTATTTAATATTATTGCCTTCTTTCATATTTAATATTTATTAATGATAAGACTGCCTTCAATATTTCAATTCAACTTTTTATTTTCAAAATCGAACAATAATTCAAAGTGAGTGTAGAAAAAATGAAATTAAAAAACTTTCATTTGTATTAGTTAAATATTGAATATTTAATGAACTTCATTAATTTGTATTATAAATACTAAATATTGTTAATTATTGATTTCAATTTTAAACAATCTTATTATCAATTCTTTCATAAAAAAAATAGCAATCTCTAATATATCTCTGTTATATGTTGTGAGATATTGACTATATTTTTTCTTCAAATGCTAATAATTTAATACACTTATAGTTCATTTTTAGTGCTTTAGTCTATAAATTCTTTTATAAATTTTCAAATTTTAAATCATTTTACTAAAAATATTAATTGTAATTTAAAATTATTTTTAAGTGAAAAATTGTATATTTTATTTTCTAAACAACAATTGTTAAATTTATTGAAATTGAAAGAATTGTGTGCAACTATTATATTACATACTATTATATAAAAATGTTATATCAAATATAGAAATAATAATTTTTTATTTATTCTAATTTTGTATAAAAATCTAATCATTAAATACAATGCAACAAATTATACAAAAAATAAAAATTTAATGTTTATTATTCATCTAATTTTTCATTTTTAAAATGATTAAATATTTTTATAAAACTTTTTCTTATCATGAATATATAAAATCTAAAGAATAGAATATCAACATAATATATAAAAAATTAAAAATAAAAAATGAATTGATTCTTTATTATTATTTAATTATTGTTTATTATTTTAATTTACAATTCACCAAATTAACTTGTTATGAATAATAAATATATTTTAATTTATTTTGTTTTAAAACACTTTATAAAAATGCTGATTTTGTATTTGGATAATTATTATAATCATATTTTTAAATAATATTTTAAATGAATTTTGTAGATTCTAGAATTATAAAATTTTTATTACAGTAAATTTACAAACATTTAATTTAAAATTTTTTTAATAACAATTAATTTCTATTTACTTTCATTTATTAGCGAATTAAGACAAAAATGAATACAATATTATAGTAATTAATTTTTATTTCAAATACATTTTTAATAATTTCACAGCAATTTATTTGCAATTACATAATCAAATATATATTAATTATTGTTTTACGTTCGTAAACTAATTAATATTAGCTAAAATAAAGTTAATATATGCAGTAATGCACATAAAAATGGCGAGAGTATTGGTTTTTCCACATTCAACTCCGTTAGAAATAATTCTAATTAAATAATATATTGAATCTTCGATATATACTAATGGGCCGCCATTGTCACCCTTTAAAATAAATAAATTTTAAGTATATAAATGTATATATATATAATATTAAGTACATATATTTAAAAAGCTAAGAGCATTATACAAAAATATTTATGAAATCTTTTGAAATTAATAATCGAATATTTTTATCCGTAAATATTTGTATAAGATATATATTAGATAATAAAAGAAAATATTTTGTATAAGTAGTTATATAATTTTTAATGTAATTGTACAATAATTTCTAAATATTAAAACAGATTACCAGAAATATACAAATCTAAGTAAGTATATATAAGTTTTGATAGGTATACTTAATTTAGAGATTATTAAACTAATTACAATTTATTAATTAAGATAAGACTTGCAACTAATCGATTCCAGACAGTATCTTCTTGAATTTCAATTGTTCTATAATATTTGTGTAATTTTTATTGATATTGAGGAATTTATTCACTGGCTTATGTATTTTAATAAAATTATTTTAAAAAAAAACATAAAAATGATAACAGTTATTATTCTGTCAAATTGACTATATCTAATATATTAATTAAATATAAAAAGTAATAATCCTTTTTTAATTCGTCTTAAATACATTTTTATGTTTTATTAATAATTAAAATATGTTATTCATATAAATATATTAATAATTAGTTGCTATTAGAAGAAATTATTACAAAATTTGTTTGAAAATATTTTATTTGTAATTACATTTAATATTTAAAAAATCGAATAAAAAAATATCGTTATAATTTTTATAATTCTTGAAAATATGTTGTATGATCACATTTATATAATACATATTTAGACCATTAAAACAGATTCTTTTCATACCTTTAAGAATTGCTTAATACATATTTTTAATTTTGTATATATATGCATATAATAAAATATAAGCAGTATATAATTAGATGAATTTTTTTACCTGACACGTATTTTTATAAACATTTCCAACACAAGTCTCTTTTGGTGTTACGTTTATATTCACTACATGGCGAAGAACTTTTCGACAATTGTTATTACTTATTATTTTAAGTTCAATTTTAACGTAATACTTGACTCATACTAGACTCTAAAAGAATAAATACAATTGTTTTTAAAATACTATTTCAAATTGTTAAAGAACAAGGTATAATAGATTTAAATGATAAATAATAGATTTATAAAATACAAATTTTTCATCTCATTTAATATAT